GGTGGGGGTGGGGGGGGGGAGGAAGACTTGGACAAATTAAAACCACTGAGATTTTTCTGTTTAAAACAAAGAGGGGTGAAAGACACATTTCTCCCTTTACGCGCAAATACTTCCTCTTGGATGGAAGCTAAACTCTTTGATTAAATGTGCGTGTACATTCTTTTTTTTAAAACCCGGTTTCTCCTTACTGAATGCATGTAAATGTCTTTTGTTAGTGTGCTGGTTTTACCTACTTTAGCTGGCTCTTGGTGACCAGCTTAATCCAAGTGAACTATAATTTAGGAAAATTTATATATTTATTTATTTATATCAAATGGCAGGCGTTTTGATGGCTACCATTAGTCCTTTAGTTGACTTCAGGCTTCACAGAGAGGGGAAGGAACATCAAAGTGAAAAAAATCGAGAAGGGGGAGGGAAGAGAAGAGTGTTTCAAAGATGTAAAAGAGGCAGACACAAGGGTAGAAAAAAAGTGAGGTGAGTACTGTGGAAGGAGCCGAATATGACATACATTGGGGTGATGGTAGTTTGAAGTCAGATGTCAATTACCGGTTTATAGACTTTTTTGCTGTATGAGTACACGTTACCCAGGGTGCACCACATGGAGGTATGTCTATCGCGCACCCCATAATTTAGGAAAATTGAGATGCAAGTTTTAAGCCTAACGCTGTCCACTGAGATATACCACTGTCTTCTAGAATTCTCAAAGAAGGAGAGTCCTCCATTTCTAAAGCTGCGTCTTTAGACAGTGATATAGCAATGCGAATACTTCTTTCGTAGTTGTGAACAATAGGGGAATAATCTTGCACCTGAGGGGATGACTTTCTCTTACCGAATTCTGTCCAGCACAACAAAATATGAGATCTTCCTTCCCACCTCACGACACGTTGAAATTACTTACAAATCGATCGATGGTAATATTTAGTATAGCCCTGAAAGCCTTCTTATATACTCTCTCTCAACCCGAAATAGACTCATATTTATTATCAAGTAGTTCAATCTGGATTAAAGGCACCATAATTCCACATATTGGTGTTTGAACTAGTTATAGATGAATGAATAAATTGATATTGTTCAATCTGATCTATCACTCTTAGTATGGTCCCGCGGCCCCAAGTGTTTGAAATTACTGGAGTATGATCTAGATCTTCTTTACCTCCCCCCCAATTTCACCCTTCTTTAAGTACAAATAAGAGCAATTGGAACGAAAATATTTCCATTTTCTATTTTATTCTTTTTTAACCCCAGTGATTTAGGCTCGTCCATTGAAATTGGCGAACGTCACAGTCATTTCGCCTTGTAGTACTCTGAGATATTCCGGCCAATCGATACCTGCTTGCGACACTTTGGTTTTAATATTTTCGAATAAAATGAAGGAGTATTTCCTCTTTTCGTCCGCTTACGGGGTTGTAAATAAGCTCACACCCTACCAAGAATTTTCAAATTCACCTCAAATTTTTTAAATGCGCCTTCTTCATTCATTTAAAATTATTTTATGAGGAGTCATTTATTATATTGAAGTGATTCGCTAGTTTTAAAACCCACCTTTCGAAAGTAACGTTTTTTTGTAAGTTAAGTTATTAGTTTATCGTAAATGGGCAAAAATTGACTTAGGCGTAAACGCATTAGAATCGATCGATATTTAAGTAATAATTTATGTCCAGAAAAACTCATTGCCACAAGAAGTCTTTATCTGTTGCTAAATACCTCTTCTAATTGTTGAAAAAAAACGCATATTTGCGGTCTCTTGTACGAAAGACCAATTTCTTTCCTTAATTGCTCTATATTCTGATACTCGCGCTCCCGCCATTTTTAAAGATTTATTTATTCATTTTACTAACAAAACACACTGTCACTGGGTCAAAAAAATTTGCCAAAATTTCACCTCTCATTTGAATTCGAAATTCTAGGGTCCAGCGTGGACAGCTAGTAGTAGAGCAGAAAGGGAGCCTTACTGAAAAGCAGCAATAGTGACAGGGGTCTGGTCATTCATTAGCTATCACCCATGTCAAGGTTTGAAGTTAAGAAAATTGGTGGATATTTTTTTAACCAAAATATATTCGATTGAAAACGTTTTTTAACAATTGTATTTATTTCCAGTTTTAGTACAGAATTTACATCCACCTTGCTTAATGCTTCCTTTATTAGCAATCAATTTTTTTTAAAACCTGTGGTCATTCAGTATTCGGAGGGTGGAAATCGTCTTGCAATAATACATAAATGCAACATAAATGAAAGCAAAACTTGGCTTAGACCATGAAAATAATTGAGTCATCACAGAATCTCAGATTATGATTGGAATATCTTCATTATTAATGCTTGGGAGGTGTGTGTTCGCTTGAAGCTCAAATTTTCTAGGTTGAAAAGGAATAAATGTGCCAGATGTTGGATTTCTGTAGATTAATTGGTGAATTAAAATTTACTGCAAACTACAAATAAATGTTTGTTTTTCTAATTATTTATTAAACTTAATCTAAAAAATCTCCATAAGGCTGTCCTAGATATTGAAAAAAGGTCAATAAACTGTCACATTTCATGATATCAATCAGAAAAGGTGTCATGACGCATCACATTTTGCATTCTTTTATACTGGCAATTGCAAAATTACATCGAATTGGCACTTTTATTTTTATATTTATTTCTGAGAATGCCTTTTTTTCTACCTTGCTCCTGTCAGAACTTGAATAGGTGAAATATCATCTATTTCTTCCACTCATCAGTCGCAGTAGAGACATTCAAAATCCAACTTGGCGGTGGAGGGGGGGGGGCGAGCGTTGGATTGTTCCGTTTTACTAGACAAAAGAATCTAGCGGCATTGTGTGCCCGTGAGTTAATTACTCGACTGCAAAGTCTGTGGTCAGGAATTCAATGTTCCTCGGTGAATGTCCAGGTGTATAGGTTGAGTTTCTAACCTGTAAGACTCTCCGGAAAGCAGTTCCATAAGAACGCTAAAGACATCATCTAAATCGGCTCAGTAGTGATTCATTATTGTCACGTTTGTTGGTACAAAATAAGTTTCTAATCGCAGCGCGCATGGAAGTAATTGAAGAGGGCGATCGATTTTAATTCCATTCTACGGGTCACTTGTTTTAACAGATACTCTTTGTTTCACCATAATCCAAGTTCAAACTGCAGGATCTTTGATACCTAGGCTCTTGAGTGCATAGTTCACTAACTTAGGAGGTTGGTCATGAATTCTCACAAAAGCCTTTTCCTTTTTATTTTTTTATGACGATTTATAAAACTCTGGCGAAAATTTCTCAAGGCGATAACTTTTTCAAACTAAGTGCATCCTTAATTTACCATTACAGAATTAAGAATCACAAATTCATACTTAACGTTTTGTCACGGAAATAAGTCGATCTACTAAAACACCCACGAGAGTTAAAATGTTAAATTACTTCTTTTACAGTGAATAAAGTGGTTAATTACTTTCTTTTTTTTAAATTAGTATCTCTCAAATGCATTAATTCTACAAGCTTGAGTTGTTTTTTCCTTAATCTATGGGCGTAGCTACTCATGCGTTAGTTCGATAGGTCTAGACACAAAAAATTAGATCAACTTCCTGGATTGAACACCAGTTAAAATTCAGTTGAAATAAGACTATTTCGATTCCTCTCAACCCATCGTTTAAAATTGTTTCTGCCAACGAAGTTTTTACCATCGGTTTACGTTTGAATTCGTTTGCATATCCAAAAGGCACAGCCAACATCTATTGTTATTGTAAACAGCAATGTGCTTTACCATACACAATCAACAGCCACTCTATTTAGAACTTATCGAAATTGAAGTGAAATCCACCAGTGACTCTAGATGAGTCATATTTTCTAGAATTTCAAACACTCTTCCTGCCCTTTGAAGTGCATATTCTCCCACTGGAATTTCACCTTGGTTGACGTTTTTTAGTGTTCGCGTTTTTGGGTTACGTAAGGTTTATTTTGTCGAAATTTTCTATCATGCTCATCTTTTGAAGTTAGTTTCCGTCAAAATGCCGAGTCTAACGGAAATGAATGCCACAAAAGGCTTTCAAGGTTAATACGCACTACTCCTCCTCCTAAACTTTTGTTCCTATTTTTTTGGGAAAGTGTTTCCAAAACTAAATTCTGAGTAGAGGGGGTAGCATCGTCAGCTTCCTTGATGACAATTTCGAGTTCTGACACCCCATTTATTCCTCTTATTCAATCAGTGATGTTGACCGTTCCTCTCCCTAGATGTAAACTGATGAGTACCGAGCCTGTGGCCTCTAAATTGACGGAAGAAAACACCTAGCTCCTGCATCATCAGCATTTCTTGAT